ACATTTTCTTTTTCTTTTTTCTTTTTTTTTTTTTTTTTTTTTTTTTTTTTTTGACGTTTTGTTGCAAAACATCAATTTAAGGTTTTTGAAATGTTCGTGGTGCTCAATATGGTTTGATATTGTACATATGTGACTACTGAAGTTCTTCTTCTCTTTTTAAGATCACCAATTCAAGTGAACAATGTATGATATTTAGCATTTCTTCATATCACCATAACACAAACGGCTCATTATTGATAGCATGTAACACTTTGTGCATATGTGTCATTACAGACACAGATGAGTGTGCAACTAATAACGGAGGCTGCGGAGATATCTGCATCAACACGATTGGGTCCTACTACTGTATATGCAGCGAAGGGTACCATTTGGCCCGAGCTAATGTTTCGGTCTACACCAATAGAGTACCCAGATCTCAGTGCCCAGCGGACATGGCGGGGAAAAGGAAAAAGAGACAAAGTAATATTTATATATAATTTTAAAAGTAATAAAATAAATATATTATTTAAAAAAGAATAAACTGTTGGTAACAGTTCTGCACAGCGTATATCTTCTGTAAAATTACACTGTTAGATACAAACTTTGTGTATTTTATTTTATGGTATATTTATCGGTGAAATAAAAATTACATCATTTGACAGAATGCATCAGTTAAATCTAATTTTTTTTATTACAGCATCTTCAACACTTCTTGACGCTATTGGCACTGATTACATGGTGATGTTCACTGAAAATCGAGTGCAAGACGGCCCAGGTCCCAACCCATTTTTTGAATGTTTCATCACTCCTGGGAGGGACACGATCACAGTAGCCTCTCTAAACATAACCTATTACAATACTAACGGAGATTTAGTGAGATTGCCAAGGTTGGTGCTTGGTGGTCAGGTATTGAAAGAAACTCTTGATGAGCCGACCCTGGTACTGAGAGGAAGCGTCAAGGAAAGAAAGGGTGTTAGAATTCAGTCGAGTGAGGATGTGGTGGTCTATTGTCTAAACAAAAATAGCTTTTCAACAGACGGCTATTTGGCTCTTCCGAAGGATGCTCTAGGCAATAGATACTATACTGTCTCTTACTCTCCTCCTAGATTCCAAACTGAATTAGGTATTGCAGCCACAGAAGACAACACTCTTGTAACCGTTACACTCCCTCGTAAGTTCAACGCTAGCGAGCCCGATTTGCAGGTTACTTACAACGGCCAAACGTATCGTAACAACGACGTTATATCAGAAACTCTCCAAATGTACGAAGTCCTTCAACTACAAAGCGATGGGGGCACACCAGGTGATTTGACCGGTGCACTGGTTGTCGCAAGTAAAACTGTTGCTGTCTTCAGTGGTAATGTCAGAACCAATATCCTCGGTTTGACACCAGGCAACACTCCTTCACGTGACCATTTAGTAGAACAGATGATCCCTGTGACATCTTGGGGCAGAGACTACGGTACGGTACCCATTCCAGACCGAACAATTGGTGACTTCTTCAGGATCGTTGCCGCCGAGGACAACACGGTGATTACACGTATTTCAAGCAACGGCGAGACAAAAACTTACACCATCCCATTCGCTGGCGGTTATACCCAGGATGAATTTTCTTCCGGTGTATACTACCGTGTGTATGCAAACAAACCAATCCTCCTCCAACAAATGGTGAAGAGTCAGACAAGCAGTGCAGAACTTGCTGATCCATCCATGATCACCGTAGTGTCGGTCGAGCAGTACAGCAACGACTATCACTTCCTGCTCCCAACATCAGTATCAGGATCCTATACGCATCATTTAATGATAATTATGAAGTCCCAGTTCACTTCTACACTACGATTAGACGGAGCCGCTCTGAGTCTAACATGGAACCCGATCCCCAATAATCCGAACTCCCCACAAAATGACGGTTTGGTTGGGGCTCACGTCACGGTGTCCGGAGAGAGCCAAAGCCATGTTATCAGAAGCACAGACTCTAGTGTTAACTTCATGGTGATCATGTACGGCAATGGAGACAGGGATTCGTATGGTCTACCGATTGGGATGAAACTTTTACTTCTGAACCCGGTAAGTACTTGAAAGCGCATAAAAGCGAATGGGTGAAATGGATGTAGAGCTACTTCGAATGCTCTATTTAAATGTCGTGCATGTCCTCTTTTTTAATGATAGTCAAATTTAGTGCCTTGTTTGGTTATGGGGTTGACTTTGAGATACTTTTTTAAAATTAAATTTAAATTAGAATTAATTTTAAATTTAAATTTAAATTATATTTCGATATATCATTTTAAAAGATTTAATATAAATATATATTTAAAAGATGTCTTTTAGTTACCCGACAAGCTCTGTTGAAAAATCTAACGAATGTATCTTTTCTTTTCTTTTGCAGCCGGTGCAATCAGAAAGTGAGTTTTTTTTTTAATTATAATATTACAATAAAGCAAATTTATGTAATTACTCAGTATCGATCTAGCATTCCCATTTTTATTTTACTTGGCTAGTTTAGTTGTCCTTGTTGATACGATTAACACGTGTGTCTTTATATTACTTTATATTACTTTGTATTACTCCATTTCAGTTTGTAACACTGATGCTGCTGGTACTTGTTGTACATGTCACGTTGGAAACAATGTCTACCTTCCCTACGAGGGCGCTGCGCAGGCCTCTTGTTGTTTAGGTGAGTACAAATAGCCTTCATTTTAAATATCCTTCATTTTAATTTTAACTTAAAAGTTTTCATGATGGGTCCCATTTATTCACACACACGCACGAACACATTCACACGGATATACATGTATATATTACTTAAAATGATTATTTGATCTTTTAAAGATTGAAATACTCGTATCACTTTTCCAGTGGAAAATATCCGTTGTTACTATCCATGTTGCGGGCGAAAATACTGTGACTGTTTGGTGAATGGCGTCTACATCCCATTAAACGAGACCTTCTGTGAAAGTAAGTACAGTACAAGTGCACTTAATTTCACCTAATTTACGGTCATTTCAAAACATAGCTTCTTGCTGTGTGAAATAATTTGAATCGACGTACAATATTTCAAAAAATTGGTGAATGTTTGGAATTGTAAATTCAGATTATTGGAAAGAATTATTTCATCATTTTACCGCTTTTCACTTTCGAATTTTTTTTTTCAAAACAGACACGGATGAATGCCAGATTGATAACGGACAATGCGAACACACTTGTACTGATACAGTATTTGGCCGCGGACAGAACAACGGTGGATACAACTGCAGTTGCTTCCCTGGGTATCAGTTATCACTGGACTTCCACGAGTGTATAGGTAAGGTACCCGATCAACTACATGTAGCTTTTAGTGTAAACATGGAAATACGTTCGTAAGATAATGTGAACGACCATCATCAATGCACACCGCAATTTCAGGTTATTTTTGCTTGTAGTGCTTATGCCGTTTGTGTTTCTTTTTTATTTTCCACGTTTTATTCCCCTTTTGTAAATGCCTGGTCATGCGACTGGCACTGTATTGCTTCTTTAACTATTCCTCTAAATATTCTCACTTTTGTAGATATAAACGAGTGCTCAGGAACATCTCCATGCCCAGCTGGCAATACCTGTGTCAATACTGTGGGATCGTTTTACTGCGTCGGGTCTAGCGTGGTAGCAGCTGGAAGTAAGTAGAGTGTATACTCACAGTTTTTAGACTATTAAAATACTCCATTGGTAAATATGTAAAAGTAAGACATGATCGTATTTCTGTATCTTTTCTCGTATTGTTTCTTTTGTGAAAAAATACATTTGCGCAAGTTATCTCAATTTTTTTCATGGCCAGCAGCGTTCATTTATTTATTTTTCATTTTATTTCAGTTTTGTCAACATTGGTTATCTCTAACCATTTGTTTGTTTTTTTTATCTTTAGGTAGTGCTCAGAGTGGAATGCCGGCTGTAGTCTCCGGAATGTCTGTCAGTACCATTACAACGGCTCTTACAGGCATCACAATATGGGCGGCCGTCATTACCATTGTGGTAGCCATAGTAATAGCTGTTGGGTTCCGAAAGTGGCGTAAGGCGCAGTGCAAGTCTGATACGGAGAGCATCTCAGACAAGTCTTCAATTGTGGACAGTCCCTTAAATTTCCATGCCTTTAGGCCTAAAGGTGGTAAAGAAAACCCCGCCTTTGCAGAGGACACTGAAGATGCCGTAGCTCCCACGTCAGACCAGGAAGAGGTCGGCGAATGGGATTCTTCTCACGATCCTGAAGAACTTTCTACGCCGAGAGAGGAGGATTCTGTTGCCACGAGATTATAATTACACGATTATTTTGCCAGAACGATTGCAGTGATCTTTTTAATGTCTAACTGTCATGTTGTACAAAGATTCCGTTCTTTTATTTTAATTGCTTTTTATCTATGTAATCTTTTCCGCCGTATACATTCCAGTTTTCACTTATAACAATATTTATATCTAAAAACACGTTTTTAAGCCCTTTCAAGGCTTACCACGCTAGTGGTATGTATTTCTCGTGTTGATTGTTTTTTAGATGATCACCAGAACGTGTGTACATTATATATATATATATATATGTATTATAAGAATGAATACGTCTCTCGTAGACTTCTTCAAATGAAATATCGATATGCAAGTAGTAGAAATCTCGTCCGAAATTATGGACTTTTTTAGGTCACATGCACACGGTCTATTTTATTTTGAGTTTTTCATTGTACCAAGTACATAGGAGAGTTTAATTCAGAAAAGATGAGATGGGTACTTGGTTTTAGATATGTATCATGCTGGTTGTGAAGCAAAACCCTTTATCACTAACACTACATTTAAACAACGAAGCAAATACAAACAAATGCAAACTTTTATATCAGCTTTAAGTAGTTTATAGTCTAGGTTTTGAAGAGATATGCATAATAAGCTTATTAAAATGTCGAGTATCAGCAGCAGTACAAGCACAGACATTTGAATGGAAGAGATTACTGACACGGTGTCATTGGGTAAACAGAGGGTAATTTTACATTTCTTCTGTGTAGGACCCACTTGCATTTTAACAGTATTCCGTAAAACTATGCATTAACTTGTGAATAAAACCATTCCATTTCTTAAATAAACTTGAAGTACCGTGTTATTTTTATTTTTTTCATTTTATTTTCATCCATTTGTTTTATTTCTATGATTTTGTATGTAAGGGCTGTGTACATATGAAAGAATATCATCGGCCGATTTATTTAAAACACTGAGTGAAAACAATGAAATTAATTAATTAATAGCACTTATATGGGCTTTAAAGGCTGTACCGACGAAAACAAAACATGCGCTCATCGTCAACATACTTGAACTTATTCAGGTGTAATTGGCCTGATACGCCCGTGACCATTGATCCCATTGTGAAGGATACAATATCGGTTGCTAACTTAGTAAGTTGATGAATTTGAAAACCATATATAGAGAATGAATTTATATTGATATACTGGGTTACCATAATACAAATGTGGAAAAGTCCTTTCATACTGATTCAATATTTTAGATTAATTATGTACTATGCATTACTATGTAACTAATGCACATGACAGTCTTTGAAAAAATGGAGTACCACCGTCATGTGATAAAAAGTAATTACAGAATACACTGAAGAAAAAGGTGGTCCTCAAACTAAGTTTACCTACCCTTAACGATCGTGGCTACATTTCCTTAAACTTATTTAAATGGAAATTAGATTTCTTCACAAAATTTGAGAAGTCCATTGGTACTAGCATACTGGTACATGCATGTACAGTGACTATTATATAGCACAGGGTAAATACCTGTCGGCTCAAGCCGTAATGGACTTTTTCGCAGTGGAAGGAATAAAAAGGTCATTAAAAACTAGATATTTTAAACGGTTGAAGTAGATGGTGCCAGAGTTGTCGAAGACAGTTTGCTTTAGCGTGAGGTTAAGCTAACCGTTAGTTATATTCCAAATTAGATCAAAATCAGATTAGTATTCATAAAAGTTCCCAAAATTGACCTTGTATACAATACTATAAGCAACGCTTATAGACAAAGATAAATAACGTATTAAAAATGCATTACCAATATTGATATCTATTTCAATATCCACTCTGGTAATTGTACTTTGGAATTACAAAGACAGCTCTAAGCAGTATGAAGACACATCAACTAAACCAAGACAACAATGAACTGTGTACTCTCCGATTTTTCACTATAAAATGGGCACGTGTAGCTTTTGACCAACTGATCATTTTCTATTCATTTATTCATTTTCACTCACATTTTAGATCGCGATCGCCCGTCTAGACCTCTTAAAGATTGGGTCTGGCTGTAGAACGTGATAAAAACAGCAAAGGACGTATTGAGCAAATCAGCTTTTATTTACAATATTCATTAGAATGTACAAAAATCATCATATAACTTGCATCTATGATTCCATCACAATTATATACAATCATGCGATATAATTACAATGTGAGCACCTTCCCGAGGTAGAGGTATATCGCCCTCATGTGAGACATACCAGAAAACAATGAGATAATTGCGACTTACAGGGTACACATATACATTAATATGATCGGCCTAACAGAAGCTTAACTATTTGCGTAGTTATTTATATAATATAATGATTACATTGATACGACTTCCACATCAATGTGAAATTAAATGATATTTGAGGTCATCCGCACATTTCAATGGAATATTAATATGTCCAGAATGGCAATGGTGTAATTAATACCTGGGCAATATCTTCTTGTATGTTACAACAGTAAAAGAAATGACTTCGATGTGTACCATTTCATCGTGTGTTCAAATGTATGATACATGATATATGATATAGCTGTAAAGAGGCTAAATGATTACTGGCAAGTTATATTTAAACAATATCATTGGACCAAGTATTAGAATGTGTAGTCTAAAACTAAAAAATACTATTCTATCATGAGCTTCCATCTATCTTCCCAAGTCTAACCCCCTTTCTCAATGGATGGTGTATGTACAAGCTTCGGGCAAGCGACCAACCATTTCTGATATTGTCGACATAAAAAAATTAAAATTAGATCCATTGATACATGTGATAAAAACGGCAGATGACGGAAGACATCTTTAATTAAGAACTTAAAATCATTCAACAATATCTAAATTGAAAAAAGAATAAAACAATCATAATTTGGTTAACTAGCTGATGATGATATAAGGATTGTCATACGGACAAGAATGTATTATGAAGAAAGAGCTTATCCATTTCAAAGCTTGATAATAAAATACCTCATGTTTTCAAATTAAGAACTAAAACCTAGGGCTTCTTACATAACATTTTTAAATATTTTACATATTTTACAAAAATATATTGTGATAAAATCGAATTCATTCTCCACGAAATCTTTTCTGAATTTTTAGTCCTGACAACTTTTTTAAATAACAATTTTATTCGAACTTTCATTTGCAGAATTTTTTTTGGNTCAAGTAAAACTGTTGCTGTCTTCAGTGGTAATGTCAGAACCAATATCCTCGGTTTGACACCAGGCAACACTCCTTCACGTGACCATTTAGTAGAACAGATGATCCCTGTGACATCTTGGGGCAGAGACTATGGTACGGTACCCATTCCAGACCGAACAATTGGTGACTTCTTCAGGATCGTTGCCGCCGAGGACAACACGGTGATTACACGTATTTCAAGCAACGGCGAGACAAAAACTTACACCATCCCATTCGCTGGCGGTTATACCCAGGATGAATTTTCTTCCGGTGTATACTACCGTGTGTATGCAAACAAACCAATCCTCCTCCAACAAATGGTGAAGAGTCAGACAAGCAGTGCAGAACTTGCTGATCCATCCATGATCACCGTAGTGTCGGTCGAGCAGTACAGCAACGACTATCACTTCCTGCTCCCAACATCAGTATCAGGATCCTATACGCATCATTTAATGATAATTATGAAGTCCCAGTTCACTTCTACGCTACGATTAGACGGAGCCGCTCTGAGTCTAACATGGAACCCGATCCCCAATAATCCGAACTCCCCACAAAATGACGGTTTGGTTGGGGCCCACGTCACGGTGACCGGAGAGAGCCAAAGCCATGTTATCAGAAGCACAGACTCTAATGTTAACTTCATGGTGATCATGTACGGCAATGGAGACAGGGATTCGTATGGTCTACCGATTGGGATGAAACTTTTACTTCTGAACCCGGTAAGTACTTGAAAGCGCATAAAAGCGAATGGGTGAAATGGATGTAGAGCTACTTCGAATGCTCTATTTAAATGTCGTGCATGTCCTCTTTTTTTTAATGATAGTTAAATTTAGTGCCTTGTTTGGTTATACTTTTTTAAAATTTAATTTAAATTAGAAATATTTCGATATATCATTTTAAAAGATTTAATATAAATATATATTTAAAAGATGTCTTTTAGTTACCCGACAAGCTTTGTTGAAAAATATAACGAATGTATCTTTTCTTTTCTTTTGCAGCCGGTGCAATCAGAAAGTGAGTTTTATTTTAATTATAATATTACAATAAAGCAAATTTATGTAATTATTCAGTATCGATCTAGCATTCCCATTTTTATTTTACTTGGCTAGTTTAGTTGTCCTTGTTGAAACGATTAACACGTGTGTCTTTATATACACGTATTACTCCATTTCAGTTTGTAACACTGATGCTGCTGGTACTTGTTGTACATGTCACGTTGGAAACAATGTCTACCTTCCCTACGAGGGCGCTGCGCAGGCCTCTTGTTGTTTACGTGAGTACAAATATCCTTCATTTTAAATATCCTTCATTTTAATTTTAACTTAAAAGTTTTAATGATGGGTCCCATTTATTCACACACAAGCACGAACACATTGACATGGATATACATGTATATATTACTTAAAATGATTATTTGATCTTTTAAAGATTGAAATACTCGTATCACTTTTCCAGTGGAAAATATCCGTTGTTACTATCCATGTTGTGGGCGAAAATACTGTGACTGTTTGGTGAATGGCGTCTACATCCCATTAAACGAGACCTTCTGTGAAAGTAAGTACAGTACAAGTGCACTTAATTTCACCTTATTTACGGTCATTTCAAAACATAGCTTCTTGCTGTGTGAAATAATTTGAATCGACGTACAATATTTCAAAAAATTGGTGAATGTTTGGAATTGTAAATTCAGATTATTGGAAAGAATTATTTCATCATTTTACCGCTTTTCACTTTCGAATTTTTTTTTCAAAACAGACACGAATGAATGCCAGATTGATAACGGACAATGCGAACACACTTGTACTGATACAGTATTTGGCCTCGGCCAGAACAACGGTGGATACAACTGCAGTTGCTTCCCTGGGTATCAGTTATCACTGGACTTCCACGAGTGTATAGGTAAGGTACCCGATCAACTACATGTAGCTTTTAGTGTAAACATGAAAAATACGTTCATAAGATAATGTGAACGACCATCATCAATGCACACCGCAATTTCAGGTTATTTTTGCTTGTAGTGCTTATGCCGTTTGTGTTTCTTTTTTTATTTTCCACGTTTTATTCCCCTTTTGTAAATGCCTGGTCATGCGACTGGCACTGTATTGCTTCTTTAACTATTCCTCTAAATATTCTCACTTTTGTAGATATAAACGAGTGCTCAGGGACATCTCCATGCCCAGCTGGCAATACCTGTGTCAATACTGTGGGATCGTTTTACTGCGTCGGGTCTAGCGTGGTAGCAGCTGGAAGTAAGTAGAGTGTATACTCACAGTTTTTAGACTATTAAAATATTCCATTGGTAAATATGTAAAAGTAAGACATGATCGTATTTCTGTATCTTTTCTCATATTGTTTCTTTTGTGAAAAAATACATTTGTTATCTCATTTTTTTTCATGGCCAGCAGCGTTCATTTATTTATTTTTCATTTTATTTCAGTTTTGTCAACATTGGTTATCTCTAACCATTTGTTTGTTTTTTTATCTTTAGGTAGTGCTCAGAGTGGAATGCCGGCTGTAGTCTCCGGAATGTCTGTCAGTACCATTACAACGGCTCTTACAGGCATCACAATATGGGCGGCCGTCATTACCATTGTGGTAGCCATAGTAATAGCTGTTGGGTTCCGAAAGTGGCGTAAGGCGCAGTGCAAGTCTGATACGGAGAGCATCTCAGACAAGTCTTCAATTGTGGACAGTCCCTTAAATTTCCATGCCTTTAGGCCTAAAGGTGGTAAAGAAAACCCCGCCTTTGCAGAGGACACTGAAGATGCCGTAGCTCCCACGTCAGAACAGGAAGAGGTCGGCGAATGGGATTCTTCTCACGATCCTGAAGAACTTTCTACGCCGAGAGAGGAGGATCCTGTTGCCACGAGATTATAATTACACGATTATTTTGCCAGAACGATTGCAGTGATCTTTTTAATGTCTAACTGTCATGTTGTACAAAGATTCCGTTCTTTTATTTTAATGGCTTTTTATCTATGTAATCTTTTCCGCCGTATACATTCCAGTTTTCACTTATAACAATATTTATATCTAAAAACACGTTTTTAAGCCCTTTCAAGGCTTACCACGCAAGTGGTATGTATTTCTCGTGTTGATTGTTTTTTAGATGATCACCAGAACGTGTGTACATTATATATATATATGTATTATAAGAATGAATACGTCTGTCGTAGACTTCTTCAAATGAAATATCGATATGCAAGTAGTAGAAATCTCGTCCGAAATTATGGACTTTTTTAGGTCACATGCACACGGTCTATTTTATTTTGAGTTTTTCATTGTACCAAGTACATAGGAGAGTTTAATTCAGAAAAGATGAGATGGTTACTTGGTTTTAGATATATATCATGCTGGTTGTGAAGCAAAACCCTTTATCACTAACACTACATTTAAACAACGAAGCAAATACAAACAAATGCAAACTTTTATATCAGCTTTAAGTAGTTTATAGTCTAGGTTTTGAAGAGATATGCATAATAAGCTTATTAAAATGTCGAGTATCAGCAGCAGAACAAGCACAGGCATTTGAAAGGAAGAGATTACTGACACGGTGTCATTGGTTAAACAGAGGGTAATTTTACATTTCTTCTGTGTAGGACCCCCTTGCATTTTAACAGTATTCCGTAAAACTATGCATTAACTTGTGAATAAAACCATTCCATTTCTTAAATAAACTTGAAGTACCGTGTTATTTATTTATTTATTTTTTCATTTTATTTTCATCCATTTGTTTTATTTCTATGATTTTGTATGTAAGGGCTGTGTACATATGAAAGAATATCATCGGCCGATTTATTTAAAACACTGAGTGAAAACAATGAAATTAATTAATAGCACTTATATGGGCTTTAAAGGCTGTACCGACGAAAACAAAACATGCGCTCATCGTCAACGTACTGGAACTTGGTGTAATTGGCCTGATACGCCCGTGACCATTGATCCCATTGTGATAGATTGAAGGATACAATATCGGTTGCTAACTTAGTAAGTTGATGAATTTGAAAACCATATATAGAGAATGAATTTATAATGATATACTGGGTTACCATAATACAAATGTGGAAAAGTCCTTTCATTCTGATTCAATATTTTAGATTAATTATGCACTATGTATTACTATGCTGTAACTAATGCACATGATAGTCTTTGAAAACATGGAGTAAAAAGTAATTACAGAATGCACTGAAGAAAAAGGTGGTCCTCAAACTAAGTTTACCTACCCTTAACGATCGTGGCTACATTTCCTTAAACTTATTCAAATGGAAATTAGATTTCTACACAAAATTTGAGAAGTCCATTGGTACTAGCATACTGGTACATGCATGTACAGTGACTAATATATAGCACAGGGTAAATACCTGTCGGCTCAAGCCGTAATGGACTTTTTCGCAGTGGAAGGAATAAAAAGGTCATTAAAAATTAGATATTTTAAACGGTTGAAGTAGATGGTGCCAGAGTTGTCGAAGACAGTTTGTTTTAGCGTGAGGTTAAGCTAACCGTAAGTAATATTCCAAATTAGATCAAAATCAGTTTAGTATTCATAAAAGTTCCCAAAATTGACCTTGTATACAATACTATAAGCAACGCTTATAGACAAAGATAAATAACGTATTAAAAATGAATTACCAATATTGATATCTATTTCAATATCCACTCTGGTAATTGTACTTTGGAATTACAAAGACAGCTCTAAGCAGTATGAAGACACATCAACTAAACCAAGACAACAATGAACTGTGAACTCTCCGATTTTTCACTATAAAATGGGCACGTGTAGCTTTTGACCAACTGATCATTTTCTATTCATTTATTCATATTCACTCACATTTTAGATCGCGATCGCCCGTCTAGACCTCTTAAAGATTGGGTCTGGCTGTAGAACGTGATAAAAACAGCAAAGGACGTATTGAGCAAATCAGCTTTTATTTACAATATTCATTAGAATGTACAAAAATCATCATATAACTTGCATCTATGATTCCATCACAATTATATACAATCATGCGATATAATTACAATGTGAGCACCTTCCCGAGGTAGAGGTATATCGCCCTCATGTGAGACATACCAGAAAACAATGAGATAATTGCGACTTACAGGGTACACATATACATTAATAGGATCGGCCTAACAGAAGCTTAACTATTTGCGTAGTTATTTTATATAATATAATGATTACATTGATACGACTTCCACATCAATGTGAAATTAAATGATATTTGAGGTCATCCGCACATTTCAATGGAATATTAATATGTCCAGAATGGCAATGGTGTAATTAATACCTGGGCAATATCTTCTTGTATGTTACAACAGTAAAAGAAATGACTTCGATGTGTACCATTTCATCGTGTGTTCAAATGTATGATACATGATATATGATATAGCTGTAAAGAGGCTAAATGATTACTGGCAAGTTATATTTAAACAATATCATTGGGCCAAGTATTAGAATGTGTAGTCTAAAACTAAAAAATACTATTCTATCATGAGCTTCCATCTATCTTCCCAAGTCTAACCCCCTTTCTCAATGGATGGTGTATGTACAAGCTTCGGGCAAGCGACCAACCATTTCTGATATTGTCGACATAAAAAAATTAAAATTAGATCCATTGATACATGTGATAAAAACGGCAGATGACGGAAGACATCTTTAATTAAGAACTTAAAATCATTCAACAATATCTAAATTGAAAAAAGAATAAAACAATCATAATTTGGTTAACTAGCTGATGATGATATAAGGATTGTCATACGGACAAGAACGTATTATGAAGAAAGAGCTTATCCATTTCAAAGCTTGATAATAAAATACCTCATGTTTTCAAATTAAGAACTAAAACCTAGGGCTTCTTACATAACATTTTTAAATATTTTACATATTTTACAAAAATATATTGTGATAAAATCGAATTCATTCTCCACGAAATCTTTTCTGAATTTTTAGTCCTGACAACTTTTTTAAATAACAATTTTATTCGAACTTTCATTTGCAGAATTTTTTTTGACCTTCTTCTTTTTGCGGGATTTTTTCTTAGCTTCTTTCGTCATGTTAAGGGAAGTTGTGACGGCTGCGAGTCCAAATTGTTTTCTGAAATTATAAAAGAAAAAACGTTAACCTGTAGAGTAATGCATAAAGAAAAATATAGATAAATTTTAGAGCAATGACCCATTACAGAAAGCTAATCACAAATAGTATACATGTATAAAACTCGTTAAAGACGGAGGCGAAACGGATTTTGATCGGTCTCGATATTTTCCCTCAAAAAAGTGTCAATTTCATCTTGATCGTTCAATAGCCGTTTTCCAGATTATATCCAATTTCTCTCGCACACAAAAGATCAAAGTGTTTAGTTCTTTTAAAACCATTGGAAACTTAATGTTTTAAAAATTGATCTATCTAAAACACGAGATGCCTACCAATCACAAAACACCCTTTACATCCTTACAAAAACCCACCCATTTACCCTTACCCTGTGTATCAGGCACTATGGAAAATGTACTTACTTCTGTCGTCGCTTTGTTTCTTCTTGTAGATAACTTTCAACGTCTTCGTAGTGATTCTGTTGTTTAGGTTTGGCTGGCGAGTTGGGCAGATGACCGTTTCCAACATGTCCGTTCATTCCGTTCATTTTCGGTACTTCAGTTCTGTAAGATAAGGTGTAAAAGTATTTCATGTAACTGAACTGTTACTAACCGCCACTTGCACATCTGTTTGACAATTCATCTGTCCCAAAAGTAACAACAAACGATATATAATCTAACAACTTTAATCTGTACAAGTTTTTCCCATATAATGCACTTACATTGGGTCTGGATGAATATATTCATCCTCTTCCATTGGCATCACTGCTGATGTCATCCAACAAGGACAACAAACATCTGGAATACAATTTGAATCAATGTTTGATGACGTTCTCCAAGCAACAGGATATAATGTTTTAGACAAAATTCAAGTTCCACAAAGTACTATACCGCTTTACATGAGGGCACCAACCCTAGACTTGAAAGAATATTCAGATAGGCATTACAAACTATGCATTTAACAATTTATTTTCAGAAAAAAAAACAGATAAAAGAAAACACCTACTTTTACCAGTTTCTTTTTTCATTTTGCAGCAAGCGCAGCACCAGCACACGATCCAAATACAGATGAAGAGCACGATTATTGCCAAGGCAATGCCAATCACAAGAAATGCGATTTCCGTGTTAGTTAGTCCAACAGGAGGCGCTACAGACGCGTCACCTTCTCTTGCACCTACGTTTCCGCCTGGATAATAAAAGCTATAATTATATCTTTTTGGAATTTATAGGCTTTTAACTAAATATGTTTCACGCAGTTAATGTAAAAGATAAAAAATACTTTATATATATTTTTAAAATTCTTAATTCCTTCATCTTAACATCTTGTTTCTAGGAGACCATCCCTCTAAAACAGTATCAGAAGAGCCCAAATAAAACCGCTGACGTTGCATTAACACTTGTTGAGTGAACCTGGACCACATTTAAATCAACTTCAGTTTTTATTTTTCTGCTATGTTTACAGCAGTACAAGTGTTTGACTGAGAAGTGTACCCACCTGCCTGCCCTGTGACATTAAGACACACTTTGTCCACTGTGCTGGTTTCATATATACAAACGTAACACCCAGTGTCCGAGGCAGCTAGGTTAGCGAGGTCCAAGGGGTGCGGACTAACGAAATACTGCTGCCCGTCATCTTCAACCTTATACCACTCTATACCAGACTCGTTTCGTCCCCCGCGGCTACATCCTGGATACACGAAGTTGCTGCCGGCCACCATTGCCAGGATAAGAGGCTGTGCAACTAAACAAACATAAACAGAGGACAATATACTAAAACGTTGCAACTTTCATAAATATTCACAATGGTAAGATGAAAAATACAATTTCAATTTGATTTATATTAATGTGACGCTAGACGAAATTCAGAATATCGTATTTTTTATAAACGAATCACTTCCATGCCCCACAGTTCTAATTTTTTTCTATAAACGGCCCTCCCAAAAAACCTTTTAGTGACAGACGTGGAGGTGATTTTTGAATCAAGTCAAATTAAAAGAGATCATTTGTTAATGAAAAATGATAATGTTAGTACATAGACAACAAGAGTAACAAGCAGACACTCTCAAAGCAAAATATTGCATCACTCTGCTGTATGCAAGAAATCGGGACGTAATTCGGATGCGAATTTATCCGAGGTTGGCGGAATGCAGAAGACCCGACGTTGCATTGAAACTGTGCCGACATTATTGGATTCATTGATTGGATTGATATTAGGGTGCACTCTCACCGAAATTATTGGTCGCTTGTGTGCTGACTGGTGACGTTGTTGTTGCTGCTGTTGTCGTCGTCGATTTAGAAGTCGTGGTTGTAATGCTACGAGTGGTGCTCGTCTCACTATTTGAAGTCACGGGCGCACTACTATGTCTACTACCACTAAGTGACGTGGTTATAACGGGCACCGGCTTGGTTGTAGTCGTTGTAAGTGGTGAAGTGGTAATAGGCATGGTATGGCTCTCAGCTAAAGTACAGGGACAATAAAAAACTCAGAGGTAGTCGACAAACACATCACAAATAATCAGACAAGTTAAAAGTGCAAATTACGCAAAGTGAAGAAACATCTTATTGGTTATGATAAGTAGAAAGGTATTTCTTTTTTTTTTCAAAATAAACAGTTTGCGTGAAAACAGGCAAGGTTCTATCGCTAGGCTGTAAAAGAGGGCAAACCCTGACAAACAAAACGCGAAGTGGTGAAAAATAACCATGCACTATACCCTTCACTTCAAAGGAGGGAAACATCCCTAACTGTTCATTTCGAATTAAGGTTTTAAATCTAATTCTTGCGTCACAAATATCGCTGCCTGGTTGTTAACAATAAACTGTCATCAGTGATGTAAGCTCGTCTTATCTCCTCCACTTCCTTACGTGAAGTTTGTCTTCTTGCTCTTCCAAATACAAACATCAGTAAAGCACCTGTTATCTGTCTGAGAAACATGCGGCTTTCGTAGCGGAATTTAGCTTACCTGCTGAGGGTGTGGTAGCAGTGGTCGTTGAGGGTTCAGTAGTAGTCGTTGTGGTAGTGGCAGTAGTAGTAGGTGCGACAGTGGTAGTAGATGTTGCTAGAAAAATCACAACACACTTTGATTGTGAATCAAAGGAGAAACCGGCAAAAAAGCAAAGGATTTCGGTGAAAAGCAAATTTCCATCAAATTTTATTAACAGTAAAAATTAGTCACTATACTTTATGAGTCACTCATAATTAGATAAGTGAGACTTAAAACAACACGCTTAGTGATAAAAATTAACAGCAAACCTCAAAGTGAAAGATAAATGCACACATCGTGTAAAATACATTCATAAGAAATTGTTGCTTTACCGGTGGTTGTCGGTGTAGTCGTAGTTGTTGGCGTCGTGGTGGTGGTCGGCGTTGTGGTAGTTGTCGTCGTTGTTGTCGTTGTTGACGTAGTTGTTCCTAAAATGTTGAAAATAAACATTAAATTGAAAAAACTCTCGATGTTTTGTTCTTCTTCTTTTTTTATTTTTGAAATTCCAAAGTTTAACTATTTATCAGTACTAGTTATTATTGTCATTGGTTTTATTATATCATGAATACTAAACAAGATGTACAATTTTCTATTCAGTGAAAATCGATGCTCTTACTTCCTTTAACTTACCAAGATTTACCCGAACACCAATGGAGTGGGAGTAGGGCTTTGTGTCCGGAAAAGTAATGACATCTCCTTCATTAGGGAACGCAAGGTTCTGTCGGTCCAACCCCTTGGTCTTCAAGGTAAACGTGGCAGGGTTTTCATAGGTGAATGCTACAGGGTTGAATATTTTTTCAAAGGCCCACCCAAGGTACCATCCACTGTGTATCCACGGTTTTGGATCTGGCGCGTCAAACTAAAAAAAGTAAAACAGACACATGATGTGTGGTGCATAATGAACTATAAAGACACACTTACTACAGGGATAAAAACATCGCATTATGGCAAATAAATTCAGCTGCATGCAGGTTATAAAATGAACTACCTTACAATGAAAACAGAGAACAGATCATGTCTTTAAATGGAAAAAAGACTTGGTTCAAGTAATTATTTATTTAGTTTGTAAATGCGTAACATACTGTGTCAGCAAAAGACGTAAATATCCGAATAACCAAAGTTGACAAATAGTATAGGGGTGTACAGGTAGTCTGTTATAATATAGGCAATTGTGTTTTGAAAATTTCTAACGTCTGCCCCGTAATGCTTACGTACTGAGCGACATCCATGTTTGCGTTTTGTACAAGTATAGCCTTTGTTGGTAAAGACGCTTTGTAAAGTCCGTTTGTTTGTTCAACCATTTAAATGTGTTTATCAAATGCCAAGAAGTTTCCGCTTTAGACGAAATCGATATACCTGCGATATATACCTACTTTTCATCGTTTGTATCAGACCAGGTTGCCATTCTGTTTGCTGATAATGTATTAACAGTATGACATTGAAAATATCAATGTTTCCGCTTGTGAGAGAGATTCTCATATTGTTCTACGAATGAGTTGAATCTCTAAGGTGAACAGTATAACTCAAACATAAAAAAAATTGCAAAATAATAATAATTAAACGTACCGAATCTTCTTGAGTTCCAGGCTGCAAATTGACTTTCAAGCTGTACTCCAATTGATAAATCTCGCTGGAATTGCTTGCTTTCGACCAAATATAAAAGTAAGTGGGAGCGATTTCCGAAATGTTAAATGCTTGCAGCAAGCTTTTAGTGTATACGTGAAAACTTGATAAACGTCCCTCTCCGAGAGGGTGTGCGGTCTCTACAAATAATATCTGACCCCCGTCTGGATCGACGTATGGCCTGTCTATGATATCAAAGCCAAACTGTGTTGCGTTTTGGCCTAAAAACAAGAAAAATTGAGAATATTGTGATAAAAGTAACCAAAAACAACACAATACATGTATACACCTTAATAAACATAAAATACATTATTGATATTTATACTATAAATATATATATTGAAAAATATCAAATTGTCAATATTGAAAAATATAAGATCGTTAAACTCGTCTTGGTTAAGTATCAAGATATCAGTATTATAAAATTTTATTTGGGTTTAACTCCACTTCCGCACTCCTCACCCCCCCCCCAGACAAACAAACACACACACACACACACACACACACACACACACACACACACACACACACGCCGAATAGTGAAGGTATCTTGATATATATCTTTTAAAAGGCACATTTAAAATCAATTTTACCGACTAAAGTGATTCTGTTGACAGAAACTCACCTGTGACATTTGAGGAGCATATTAATACTAGCATCAAGGTCAGCAATGTGTCCTTCATCATTTTCCTAAAATAAGAAAGCAAAGCTTGGAATAATGTCAGATTTTGAAATATGTATTGATATGGTACGATAAGTTTTGCCTTTATGGGACTAAAGATGATTTAAGATACTACAAGGCCATCTTAAAATGCTGTCACAGATCTGAAGCAGAATAAACTAGATATAGATGGGTGGTTTATCATCACAAATGTCTCATATTATGAGAAATAGGGATGAAGTTAAATCAAGGCTTGAGTGGACTAACTACTTATCCCCTTCAATCACTACAACATCGATTAGTTTTACATATACAGTACTTATACATGCGATCAATATTGTTGAAACTGATTGTTCATTTAGAAAAGGTCACACGGGACTGTAGGTGTTCTATAGTCAGAAAAATATCAGTATTATCACTCTTGTCTTCCAAACTGAGGTATGTTTCACGATTTCAGAAATCTTTTGAAACAATGGTAAACGCAGTGAAAAACATACGTAAAACTGATTTCCTACCTTAATGCGCAGGCCATTTTAGGTACTTTCATAGGCATCCCTCAGACGCTATTTAATTCCTTCTTTAGGAGAGATCTTAAAATGGAAGACTGGAATAGTGTTTTGGCACTAACCCCAGAAAATGGTAACTAGGGAGGACAAAGGGATAAACAGCAACAGACCAAAGGGCGCACGCAAGCGAAACGATGAGCTTTGTCGCAGTTTGTACAATGGCCATACGGGATGGGGAACAGCAATGACGTCATTCATAAATGTGAATTGAAATCTAAAATTCACACAGTCCAGTAAAATAAACATAAACATATTTTTTTAAGAAATCAGATATGAAGAAACGTGCATTGGACTGACTGGCCTTTATTCTTAATGAAGCTTTACTAAGTTCATGTTGTGTTTTTACTAAATTTCGCCGAATAAAACGTGAAATAAAACGTCAAACACAAACATCTCATTTATTGTGGTAAGATTGATGTAATCTAAAATCCATATGTATGTGATGAATAGTGGGTCCCAGATAGGATGGCCATTTTAACAATAGATATCCACTTTGAATTTGAAATTTTAACAAAATCTAGTACCACCGGTTGTTCAGCGTACTAGCGTGGGCACGTTGACACCAGCCCTTCACGCAATGTTGACGCAAACCAACATGACTAACATCATTGTGTTTGCATTTCTTTTCATGCAAATACCTAATACACTCAGCGAATGCACTGGTCACAAGACACTTATTACTTAACTAATCTACAAAATGGCTTTATAGACACCGAGTTTTTGGCCATTGTTCACCTGTACATGAAGTTAGCATGAAAGAATAATAGATCTTGGCGTTCCTTTTACTATTCAAACGCAAGTGGCCACCAACCACTTCAAACGCCACTTTGAGTATACATTGAACTGCCCACACGTTAAAATTCTTTGGATTTGGAATAGGGCGTGGCAATCCATTAAATTACAACGGATTTTTTAAAAAATTCTATTATAATAGGTTGTAATCGTTTTTAATGAACGTCAGTGTTATATAAATTTCTTATGCAACTCTTATTTGAAGTAATTAAAATAAAAAGAGATGTTAGCCCTAGGGAAAGATTTGAACTCTGATGGGTAAATGTGATATTATAAAAAAGTAGAAAAAAGAAGTAGTGCAAGAAGAAGAAATCCAGACTATTCAGTCATTCACTTTCACATTTTTCTTTTGTGTTTCATACATTTCATACATACATACATACATACATACATGTGTTTCATACATTTCCTTTCTTAACGTTCACCACAAACTTAGTCTTTGTCACGTGCATCTCTTTTTTGTCATACCTAATCATACATTATTACAGGCAATGATCCACGTGGTCTAATAATGGCATAATCACTGTATGAAGACTATAGCCGTAACGACCTCGATTGTTGCCATGGCGAAGGTATTCTGATCTTGCGAAGCGAGAGATCAATAAATAGTCTTATTTTCTTTTATGGACTATAAAAAGCAAAAATCACTGTGTTCCTAGAAATAGCTGTTTGACGAATTATGGACAGAACAATTCGGAGTCGTGATCTCATCAGATTTCATGATGTCAACATTATTGTGACATCTCAATAGTCTTTAATACACTTTCAAATATTTCTAATCTATGAATAAATCAATTTGTTAAAATTAATCATTCAATTTTCTATTCAATTTTTGGGGCTCAAAAGCTTCTTTTTTGTTAACATGAACATCTTTTTAAGAATTATCTAAATTTGCCAACGTTTCCAGTCTCACCATAATAATGGATATATCCGATATTCAAACTGATATATTTGTTTTTTTAAAAAAAGAGTATATCTGCTTTTCTAACAGAGAAAAATTAATGAGCAATGGTACTGCAGTTTAGTCCCAGTGATAAGTTCTACATACCATTATCTACATGTAAGTCCCGGGGACATTCCTCAGTACAACTTCCTCTTTAAAAATCCCCACCGTTTTCCATCACTAAAATAGTAGATAGGTGTGTGTTGCTTAATTTATTCGCTTTACTAGTATATGGGCAATGCAGAATGACAAAGCCAAGGAGGGGAAACAGTGAATGGCCCTGCAGTTAAAAAAAGACGGAGTTTTATTTATCAATTTTTAGTTAGTTTTCATTTACTAATTATTTAATATTTTTTTGTCACGAAGTTTTTCATATCCTGGAAGTCAAATTAACAGGTGACCTAGTCCATTTGTCGTAGCTTCATGTACATGACGTGGTCGTAAGAAAGAAGAAGCAACATACGATTTGACCAAAAGCACATTACAGCGAACATCATATTTTCCGGCAGGGAAAACAGAACATCAATGCAGCAAAGGACGTTTTGGACAAATGCGTTAGGTGAGAAGAATCTTTCCACATAATGCAATGTCATAGCAAGTTATCATGATTCCTTAGTATGTTTCTCAGACGTATGTCCGTAAGGTCTGGCCAGAAAATACTTCTAGAAATGAATATGCTATTCCATTTTTGAGATTGTAAAATATTGAGAGTGTTATAAACCCAAAATATCCCAAAGTAATAATTACTTTTGGGTCCCTTAACTTCATATTCCTTGTCATTATGCTACGATTTGTACACTTAGACTGGATTTTTTCCCTATCAATGCGGTTAGTCGATATAAAAAATGCAAAGAAAAGCTAAGAGAGCACTAGCGAGTACTGATCAGCAGACGACACATTCCATTCAAAAAGATAGAGGTCAAAGTAGACTTATTACCGGCAATAGAGGTATTCCTATTGGTTAGAAGGTATAAGCTGTACCGCAAAGACAAATACTTGTGCTTTTTTCCTGACGATTTAGGAAAAATTGGCACATTGAGTGTGGTTAAAGGACTTCAATGCTTTTTTTTTTAGACTTTTTAAACAAAATCTGTTAACATGGATTCCACGCAAAATTATGGAAATGGTTTGAAACGATAGCAAAGGACACCTTATAGACTATATGCTGACAAGCACATCTGTACATAGTTTATATATACATGCACCATCAGTTCATTCTTGCTACACATCTGTTATTTGCCACGAATATAAATCTCATGGCTTTGTCACTTACCGTGTCCACAACTAGGAAAACTGAGCCCAAATATCGTCTAGTCTGTTGATGAAGGAATTGCTCACAATTTAGTTCCTCTGCTGGCAAAGTTCAATATTATTAACTTATTTGAGATTTGATAAAATTATCAAATTCAATCAAGCATGTATAAAGATGGAAAGAGAAATATGGCGGACGAATGCCCGCAGATTTATAACATGGAGCAAGCTCAGAGACTCAGAGTGCAAAGTAATTAACAAAAAATAACCTTGGTTCATTATTATTACATGGGTATTAAAGACTATTTTCAATTAGATTTGTTAGGGTAATGCATCGTTGAAATTTGCAGTATAAAATCAATAATAATCAGATATTAAACAATTTGCAATAAAAAAACTCAACGTATCTAAGTTAAAAGAATACGCAGAACTTACATAATACATGTATTTATATGAATATACCCCAAGCTCGTTATCTGCTCTGACTTCGGAGAACATTTCCTCCTTATTATGGCGTTTTCTTACTTCCCGATTTTTATTTAGAGTAATTTTCTAGGCAAGTGAATCATTATTACGTACACCTGATGCAAACACACAGACAATGCACACACACGCATATAGAAACACATCTAGTTAATTGCTACAGGTTTTACGCGTAAATACCGACTTTGTTAAAATCAATTTTCAAGGATAAATGTGCGTCCAAATTTACTTAATTACTTGAATCTGAAACCGCAGTTTTACGAGTGAACGCGTCTTCAGAGAGGTGTGGAATGTCAGATTTGCACGTCCTTTGCTTTTGTGACCAAAGTGAGCGCTTTACCGCAGCCGTTTTAAGACTGATTATTTTGCCGACTTTAATACGAGAAGTCAGGCAGAGCTACATGTGTGTTCAAGTAATAATGTGCTTTTGAATGATACAGTGGAAGAAAAGGGGGAGCTGAATGTAAAAAAAGAGTGTTGCTTTTATAAGTGTTGTAGGTAATTGCTCATTTGAATAAATTTACATTCATAGGAAAACAATAAAGGTTCAGAATAACAATGAAGAATCCCCAACAGAAAACTCAGTTTTGAAGCAATGGGGAAGTTAGTCATCTTATTGACAAAAACGTTTGATGTGAAACATTTTACGTGAAGAAAATTCTGTATTCAGTTTTACATGTTTAATTCAGATATCTTTGGATAAAATTTTGAGTCTCTAATTTTCTTCTCGATAAATTTTTCCTACATTTCCCTTATAATATTTGTTTTGGTGGCATTTTTCTTCATTTGACCAGGAGAACGGTTGCATGTAAATGTGAAGAAAATGAATTTTTGAGAAGCTCGTATTTTCACTGCCCAAGTCAAATATTTGAATATTATCATAAAGCCAAGGAAATCTAAATTTACATTTGTTGTTGATTTTGCTTGGCAATTTAAATATTTGTCTCCTTTTAATGAACAGATATGACCTCTTCATTTTTTCTTTATGTGTATTTTTATGCACAGTGCTTTCCTTCTCTGCTTTGCAGAGTAGGATTAAAATTTTAATCCGAACCGCAGAAAGTAGATGTATGATCATATGCAACAGTAGTACAGTCATGTACCACCATTTGAGTCCTACAAAGATTCCAACTGATAGTCCGTCCACACTTCCACCACTGCCAGCATTTGTAATTTTTTGTATTAGTAATTGGTTTATTAACAAAACGTTAAGGACTACACTGTTTGCATGTATCGGCAGCCTGTGAAATAAACACTGGCTCCTCGCCAATGCCAGTTAAATCGATGTCGGTCCAGTAATTTTTTTAATTTGATCAGAATTAGATCCTGGTGATCCGAAAGCGATTAAGCTAAAAAGTTTTGGGCACAAACTTCCATCACATTTTCATTCTACATTTTTTCGATACATTTGACGACATTTAATGGGCAACCAATCTTACATTTTATTCTGTCAGTGCAACAGAGGAGTTTTCAGAGCAACTATGAACAGTATCTGCCGTGTTAGATACATTTATCACTACTTTTCTGAGGTGTGTTCAGACAGTCCATGTTGCTATGAAGAATCGACCAATCAAAAGGCTCAGTGCATCCTTACTGACCAATCGCAATCATCCTTACACTATCCATAATCTTTAATTATCATCGCTTTACATTAACTATTACAAGATCAAGGCTGGGAACATATGCTACAACCGGGTAATAATTATTTATTTATAGCGCTGTGTTTATAAAAGACATTCAGATTGACAGTAGGCTGATTATTAGTTCGTCAGAGCTCTAGATGCTATACTGGACCAGTGGGAAAGAAGAATTGTCCCCAATATTTCCAAAACACAGGACACAAGTGGACATCCTATAACAACAGGTGATTATTTAAACATTGTTTAATGTGGCCTTTTTGCCTTTGCGCTGTGTTTTGTTGTATTTTACACTCATTTAAATATATTCATTGGTTTGGCTTAAAATGCCGCAATAAAAAATAATTTAGTTTGTGCATGATAACTGGTCAGTTTTAATACATGCCTGGAGTATAAAAAAGGAATGAGAGAAAAATATCAATCCAACAGAACAGCTACGATTTTTTTCAAAACCATGTAGCGATAAATAGATAGCACTTAGTACGATATGTAAATAAACTATTCAATTCGATTAAAAATTTCAACATTTTCACAGGTATGTATTTCCTTGTTCGATTCACATAAAATTCGTGTTTTGACAGCATCGAAACAAAACGTATCTCTATCTTTGATATTTCCTTTTAAGCGGATAGAATGTGGCAATCTCATTATCATTATTTGAAGAGGAAATTAATACATTACAAGCAAACGCTTTTTATTTTGAACAATCTTTTCATTTCGCAGTATGTTTTACTTCATTAATAAGCAAGCGAGGCACTGATATGCCTTTCTATCTTCTTTGCGTCTTAAAAGACACAAATGATCTGTTATTAATCTGATTAAATTACCTGGCTATTCTCATGATGTCGGAAATAGGAAGACACCGAGAGGTGCAGGTAAACCGATGTCTTTTCTTCTCGCACGCGCCGTGAACGCCGTGTATGAATGTGCAAAGTGGATTCTTTTCAAGCTTAATCAACAAAGTGGTTCTGGAGAGCGTGACTGCCTGTTACTACCCTCTGCGCCGTGTTATTTAGACGTGTTTCACACGGTCCATTGCAAAGAAATATAGCCACAGCGAATAATTTTCATGGAGACATATGCTGTCAAGATAAAACTAATTACAGTTATTCTCGAATTCTGGGCTTATTTTCGCGTAATTGCTGCGCGGCCTTCATTGTCTACCGCTCCTCACACCAAGTTCATATAAGGGGACATCTTGAACACGCCTGATGTCAGTATCCAGTGTTGATGACTTGAGCTATTGAAAAAATTTAATATACATTTCCTTCTTACGATTCAAATACAATTTACTCAATTCAAGCCACTTGCCTTTAGTTTTCTTTTTTTATCGGAGAACAAATGAAGAGAAATAATAGATATATATGTCATCGTAAAGCAACCTGATTGATTGTGATGTTCCGTGGGGTTTAAATATTACACGCACACAATTTACCTAATGACATCTCCTACCTAAGTGGTCGTCTAACAAAGCTCGGTTTCATTTTAACGAAAATAAGTACTTAAAATACGAACCAACGGAGAGATATCTTACCAAGCGCAGGTAACAAAATAGTAACAGTTGTTCTTTTCAAAATCAGCGTTCTGCTCTATTGTCTGCACACGCGCAATTCCAGGCACATATGGTGTAAACATTCTCTCTCTCTCTCTCTCTCTCTCTCTCTCTCTCTCACACACACACACACGCACACGCGCTCGCTCGCTCTCTCTCTCTCCCTCTCTCTTTTTTCGTTGTTCGTTGTCGTAAACAAGGGTAAACATTATTATCTTATTTCACTTGTTGAATCCGCTCCGAGAATTTTTATTCACAGTCAGAATTGCTCAAATTTCAACTCCTGTACGATCTGTGCTTTTGATTGATCCGGTGCTAATTACATGCAACTACGTTTACTTGAACTGATGATGAATCTAGAAGGACAGATTAGTTAATTGCAATTAGCTGACTTCTGCGGACAGACTGTCATCTGTCTTTCACATGTCAGTCAGTAGTTAAATGTCCTCTTTCAGAAATTAATTAAGCACACCATGGATGCAGTGACATTTACAGGCATACTAAGACGGCCTGTTTCATTTATTTGCCGAGCAATATTATTTCAGCTTTTACCACTCGCTTGCTTTTTTAAAAAAAATACGCAGTTTAAATGATCAACGCCCTTTTTGAATATGTTATAATACTGGAACCAAATATGAGCCAAATGAAAATATGAAACTCTTACATTGTACAATCAAATTCATTTTACGATGAGGTCTCTTCTACAATTTTATTTGAGTTTGGGGTGACCAATTGTATTCATACGTTACCTGCTTAAATACGATAGTAATTATATTTTCCCGTTTTTCATAAGTTTTTTTCTTTTTATTGTTGCTTGCAACATTCTTGCTTGCTTGCTTAGTTTGTGTTATCGTGGACCTAACTACTCTTGCTTCCAATAGACTTACAATTCTCACTCCACCATTTCTCCTTATCTTATCTCTTCAAAAATTTGTCTTTTGATATTTCATATTTTTACATAGTTTTTTCTGGTTTTATTTTAAATCTTTTTATTGACTATTCCCTTTTCCCGGTCTCTTGGCGAACTGCTTTTGCCCCGTCAGTAAGAAAAATGCTAGTATCCATTTTTATTTGTAGTACTTTTCTTTTCATAGCAGAAAAACCCTTTAAAAACCCTTGTAATTTCACAAAACTGAAACATTGGAATGCAAACTGCCAATTATGTTTTTCAATGATTCTAAATAATTGCAATTGTTTGTTTGTTGTTAATTTCCATGTTTACTTCTCGACTATTTACGTTAATCAAACTATTGATTATTTATTTATTTTTGATTGTCAGCATTCACTGACACTTGCCGTTTACATTTATCTTTATTTTCTTCTTTGATAAACCCGATTTTTCCTAGCTGTTGCCACAAATGACATGATGATGCCCTCACGTGGATATTACAAAATGCACAAAAATTCCTTGTAAACGACATACAGTATCTGAGGTTTTTCTATCGAGTCGAATAACATTTACTTATAATAGAATAAAGTCAAATACTTGATCAAATTAATTCAAAAACAACAGAGAACCCAAAGGAAAAAACGGACGTTTCCTTGGGCTTACTTGTCACTATTGTCAGCCTTTTATTTTCCAATGGAAATGTCAACAAACACTACGAACCTTGATTAGATGCACTTTAATAAAGGTCAACGGCATGCTATTTAATCTATTTGAAACTGCAGCATGATGACTCTATGACAGTTAATCGTGTCTCTTGAGAAGTTATACAAACAAATATCATTTACTGATGTTTTAATGTAATCACATGTGATTTTTATGAAAACTTGTCTAGATTTACATTTTTTTTTGTGATAAACCTTGACGTATTTGCTAAAAGTAAATGATCATGAACTATTTTTTGAAAAATTACCTGAATGTAGTTAAACTAGGACGAGCATTTACAAATAAAACTGACCTGTCTGGTGTTTATATAGAAAACACACTAGTTCATAGTTATATATAAAGGATAGAAAGCACATTTCAAATCATAAGACTTAACATCCCAGTGTCAATAGAAAATGAAAATATGATGGAAAAAACATACTGGTGAAAAAAAAGCAATTCTTCAAAGTTAAAGACAGCCTTAAACTAAAAAAACTATTAACCAGTGCGGAATTTAGTTCCAATACACTACCAATATATGAAATCAATGAACAAAACGTATAAAGTAAGCACACGTACATGTACAGGTTCAAGTTGCGACATTCTCAAATACCAGCAGACGTTCAAAAATGGGAGGAAATTTTTGAATGTATACAAAAATAAACTACAAATCGTAACAAGTATACCATGCCAAACATGTGGCGAAACCTACACTGGACACACTTGATAGCAGAGAAACACAAACAACAATTTAAGTAAAGAGAAATCAGACAAATACCACTTAGTGAACACAATGAATTTGCACAGTGGAAAAGTCAAATTTATTTTCCGTATATTGAACATAAGAAACGATGACAACTGAGGAAAGATATTGGAGAAAAAGTTCCGACAGCAATATAAAAAACGAGAAGACGGTAATCAAGTGTTAAAATGAATTGCTAAAACAGAATGTTTAAACTGTGCATGATGTCTCAATATAATGTCGCCTATTATCTACAATGAAGACACAACCCTAACAAATGAGGAAAGATTTTGGAGAAAGAAAAACAAACAAATTACAATCAATGTATATCATGATATACATGATATACAATCAATGTATATCATGTATATTCGATTTATCCAATTTGCAACATTTACTACTTTTTCTCTTTGGCACTTTTTATTTTTATAAAAATATCAACAGTCATGTGGTCAATAAAACATTTCTCTTCGTGGTTATTTATAAGTTCAACCCTTCTCATATTTTCCAAGTTGTTTGAACATTTTCGTTAAAAACCACAGGAAATTGAACGTTATTCATTACTTAGTGACAGTTGCGTGCGGCACACGACTCTTATCACTTTGCAAAACTACTATCCACTTCACTTAATTAAGTAACTAGATAAACATCTATGTTTAAAATATCATGGGTACATGCAATCCAAAAAAAGTAGGTTTTATCGGCTGTATTAAAGGTAATTTTATGCGCTTCTTGACTCTCTCACGAAGCACTGCTTGTATTACTAACAAGTGATTGTTCGGCCGCGCGTTTATTCTATCACAACCTGGCTTACTTTTGTTATTTTTCTTGTACAAATTCCAATTTCAATTCCAAATGAATCTACAGTGACACGCCAGACTCTTCTATTCTAGCTACAGCAATGTAGCTAAACAATATACATACGGTATATGCCACGCCTCGAAAGAACAATACACGACTTTGTATGTTGTTAATGTAAGAGTGGTAAATGTGACATTAAAACTCTTTTCGCTTTCACAAGCTTACATGCATGTTCTTTTTAAGGATGAACTTCAACTAAAATAGCTTATATGTTGATTAACCCAACATTTCTATATTTTCCTGTGTCTGTCAAACTAAAGCGCACAATTTAAATCAATCCGTAATAATTTTTCATGATTTCCAAGAAAAAAATGTATTTCAAATCGATCACCTACTCCCATGACAATTTGTGTGTCATCGCATGAGTCATTTATAAAATTGAATGTTTCACTGCTAAAAAACGAACAGTTACTACATTATACTAATACGTACGAAAAGATCTGGACAGGTTAGCTTTTATTTGCCTCATAATTATGAAATAACTATCAACGTCGACATTTGTGCCAAGCGTACATGACCTACCACATAAGTAAGTTAAATTTAACTGACAGACCAGTATGTGATATTTAATTTTAATCTTAATTTTTTACTGCAATTTAATTCTAATAATTCGATATTCAAACGATATCAGCTGTGCAAACTGGTACATTTTTGGTATGCAAACTCGAACGGGTACATACGCTGTTAATACCCATAATTGTACAGAGAGTTTTTCTTAGTTACGGAAGTTAGCTTTTGTTTCAGATAACAAAGATGGAATTCAGAGTCCTCCCCGAGTCGGCGAATGGTTCTACTCCGCTGGAGACAAACGCCTCACCAAATGACCATCATCTCCCCAGTTCCTCCAAGACTCAAGACGACGGCTGTGCCAATGGCGGGGCCATTCTCCGTCAAAACCATGTTGGCTTCGTCATGTTGCATGGGGTTCGTATAGTGTCTTTACACATTGACGGAAAGGAAAGACTGTGTTTGGCCCAGATATCTAACACACTCCTCAAAGATTTCAGCTACAATGAGATCCACAATCGCCGCGTCGCCCTTGGCATCACTTGTGTGCAGTGTACCCCGGTTCAGCTGGAGATCCTGCGCCGCGCCGGTGCAATGCCCGTTTCCTCCCGCCGGTGTGGTATGATCACAAAAAGAGAGGCAGAGCGCTTGGTGCGGTCCTTTCTGGAAGACAATACCCCGCCACGCCTTCCAGAGAACTTTTGCTTCGATGTCCATCATGAATGTGGATGGGGCTGCAGGGGGAGTTTCACTCCGTCTCGTTATAACAGCTCTAGAGCTAAATGCATCAAATGCAGCTATTGCGGCATGTTTTTCTCGCCAAACAAATTTATTTTTCACTGTCACCGTACCCCCAACGCCAAGTATGTCCACCCTGATGCAGCTAATTTTAACTCGTGGCGACGGCACTTGAAACTGATCAACAAAACCGGTCTATGCGATTTAGATTACGCCTGGGAGGATGTAAAGGCTATGTTCAACGGTGGGAGTCGAAAAAGGGTTCTACCATCTCAGAATCGTAACTCTGGGGGGCAAAGTGAGAGACCACAGAAGCAACCGCATCTCAGCGAGCATTCACTGGAGACAAACTCCACCAAAGTAAGCTATCCGTTCCCCGTTCTCCCGACGCCCTCTCCGTATGTACCCTTTCCAACACACATGATGAATCCACGTGCACCGCCTCACCCAGCATTTCCCTTCACACCGTCATCCTCTGCCCCTTACCGTGCTCTCTCCGGGCCAGACAACGGAGCCGAGCAAGGGCAGATGCGAGACTTTTTGAAGGACAAATACGCACCTTTCTTCTATCACTATAACAGTATGTGGGCAAAATCTTTGGGCCTTACCCCAGCTATGATGGAGCAGTATGTTAACATAGCGAAAATGAACGATCGCATGGATACCTCTTTCTCCTCGCCAAATTTTCAGCAAATGTTTCAACAATTAGAAGATAGAAGAGTGGAGAGGGAAATTAACTTGGGGAGAATCGAAATGAAAAAGAAAGCGGAGGGTAGTAAAGTCTCTCGCTCTGAAGCACCTCTGAAAACCAACACAACCCGACAGGACGATTTTCGGCACATTTCAGCATTTAAACCAATTGGAAAAGAAGCTAATTTCCTATCAGGGTTCCCCAAAAGTAATTACAAATCAAAGACACCATTAGATCAGGAAAGCATGGGTGACAACAGCCACTTGAACATCTATGACAGTGACAAAGATGATGTAGAAGTTGATGTGTGTAGCGATGACAGTACTCAGCCTGGTGTTTTGTCGCCAGCGCCATCATCACGCAGTAAGATCTGCTCAAGCCATCATTTAAGAAACGATAAGCCTCTCAACCTCCGTGTCTCCGCTTCTCACGGCGAACCGCATGAGGAACCTTCGGCTCCCGCCGCCGCCAGTGTTACCATGACAAGTGACACCGGAGAAGTCAGCCAGACATTTCAGGATTCTTTGACAGTAGAATCGAAGGTGAGAAAAAAATACGCAACTAGATATATTTCTTTCTTCTTTTTCATTTCATCTTCGTTTACTTTTTCTTTTGTTATTTTGACATTTAAAAAGGCATTTTAGGATTGTTAGAATTGAGGTATTTGAAGAATTAAAAAAAATATCTTAAGGTTTTTATTAACAATGTCATCACCACGTATTCAATAAATACATGACGCATAAGGCAACAAAAGACCACCTGCCAATATGAAAAACACAGGAGAGACTTGTTTAAACAAGAAAACGAAATATGATATGCAGAGAATTTAAGCACGATTTCTCAACAGGCTGTGATTTCGAGTAACTGGAAGCGGAGGGAAATAATTACATTTTACTCTAGAGCTAAAGAATGCATACAATACAGAAATTGGTAATCCAATTAGCAAATTGATATTCTCTTCGAACACCAAAATTTGTGTGATTAGTCTATTGTCCCTGCCACTTGTTTAATTCAAATAGCTTCGGGATGCGCATGTTTATTTTGTATAAGTGCAGAAAGATATATCTTCCGTAATCGCTATCAACAAGTCCATTTGTATTTCGAAGATTATTTTCATAGTGATTACGGTCTAGTGAAGACTGAAAGGGGGTGATGATTTCACAAAAATCGCTATCCACTTAACGGCAATTGATGTCTCAAACCAAATATCAATGACGATGTCGAACGCTTTAACAAAGATTGTCATCCATTACAGGAAATTGCTGGTATTTAGTACCCATTAAATATTAAAATTTAATCAAAAGATTACTCCTTTACACCCAGCCACGAACATTGCAATTAACTGTGACAGTGAATGAGCTTTTGTCGTTAAGTAGGCCACTACCTCGTGCAGAATGTATTTATGCCCAAGCAACCAGAAATATCAGACAGGATGAAATGGCGCTTTAACTTGTTTAATCTTCATAATGGTCCAGTTTATTATTCATATCCCAGTGGCGGTAAATAATGGGCTTGGCAATCATAGATATTGTGACAACACGTTAGATTAAATATTCAGTGGGTTAAATTGTTGTTATGGTGGAATTATAGCACTTAACGAATTTGATCGCGAATAACATGTACAATAGTGCGTGCCTCCCTTGGGTGAGAGTTAGTAAACTGCGACGATTAATTCCGTCAAGTTCTGATTAACGGTTGTAAAGACCTAAAAATGATGATTATACTTCTACAGCTGCCAGTAATTATGACGTTTACTTATTTTTTTCCTTTCTTTTAGGGTTGTTCTGAAGAAACTGAGGGAAAAGAAGAATCAGGTAAATGTGCTGCATTTGGTCTCCTGTTGTTGAGTAACAGCTTGATTTTTCTGCCCCTTGTAGACCCACTAAAGTGAAAACAAGTAAATGAAAAATACTACATGTATATAACTACGTGTATGATGGCGGTGTAATGCCATTCTGTATGCATGCATCTGCTCTGAAACTTTGTTCAAGCGATGATAAATTATTATGATTATGATTATTGTTATTCATAAAGCAATAACCACAAAACAATCACAGACTCATCAGTCTGTTAATAGGACGTGTAGTACCACTCTAAAGCTGTTATTTAAAGTATTCTTAAATGAATGATTTCTAAAGGAAAAGTTCTAGGTTTTCCTCTTTCAATCTGTCATTTGTTAAGTCTCAGCTTGAACTTTCAGATGAGAATGCAAATAACACCAGTAGTCTACCAGTGAATGAACGCAACATTGATATCACTGCTCTGGATAAGATGTCCAAAGGTAAAGTTCCATGCTTCAATAATTTAAAGCCATGTTTTATTTAAACTTTGAACATCTTATTTGATTCCATTCTTTTTCCATCCTGGTTAATTGCAAGTGACGGAATAAAAAGCCTTATGTCTTGCAAATGTGCCCTCTTGAGTGATATTCCTTACAGATCGATATCAAAATGTGATCGAGTGACCAAAGTTTTCAATATGAAATGAATTTGGTTTGGGTATTATAATTTTTCCCAAATTGTGACAATTCTATCATATACAAATAAATTACAAAGGACTACGTATGATTTGTGACATTCTAACCAAAGACTATTCCTTCCCATACTTCCTCTTATGATCAGAGCAAACCATTAATTGGTAGAACTAAATGACAGCAGTCGTAACAGTGACTTCGCTCCTAAGTAATCACGACGCTTAGAAATTAGTTCATGAGTAAATGAATAGACTGGCCGAGGATTCTCATCCTGTATTTTGCATAACAGATAATGAAATGGGATTGTCGCGCGACACAGTCGTAAATTACCGCAGTAGTCTCGTTATTTAAATTGATATTGGTTGGCTTTGTGCAAGACTCAGGATCGATAACTGAATTAGAGTAGAAATGTCAGGTATGTTACGGAAAGCAACAGTCTCACCTGGGAGATGACATCCCGTCCTAAGCCCCCGTTAATAGATTACTCTCCATTTAAAGTCGACATGTCCCATGCCTAATCAGCATCGAGTTCTGTTCTTAATGTGCTTATCAATAATTACATAGACACGTTTAAGCTCTATTTCTTCCCAAGGGATAGAACGCAAAGGCTTTATTTGCTGGGACGTATATTAATTAATTAGCAAACCATCTTCTCTTTGCATTCATTGGATCCTGATTTTTCCGCTGTGGGACTCCAAGATAGATTTAATTGCTTTATGCAACTGTCCAAATGTGAAAGGAGAAAAAACGATTAGGTTTATGAACAAAATAACAAAACAACTGATCACAAATGTGATCTTAGATAAAGGGTTAACAAAGTGCTATTGCATCCGATGACTTGATTATATGTTTAGTCTTCGTATATTCAGTCATTCTGAATTTCGCAATTTGATGTCTAGCTTAGGGGTAGTTTGTGAGATAAGAGAACATATCTGCTAATGAGCCTTTTCTTTCATTCAGATGAACTTCAGCGCGAGCTGTTGCGCCTCATGCACGCCAGAACGAAATCGGAAGAATTGGGTCAAAAGGGAGGATCATCAGGCTAGTAGTGTTTAACACATAGCAGACACAGAGACGTCAAATACAATGATTAAATGTTCAACGTTTTGATGATATGAAAATTGGAATAAATGGATAAATAGAAAGAAAGGAATTATTAGAATATAAGATATTCATTTCAGGCGAATATTCTAAAGAAATTAGAACTACTAGTAACCATGGCTTGTAACTGTGATTTAAGTGCGATACATTTTATTATCAGAGGTTTTCATGCCAGCCGTTTCGTCGAAGATGACTTAATTGAATATAATGTAAGAAATCGGCATTGTTGAAATTGTTGTTAAAGTTGTTGTCATGGATGTTGTTCTTAATTTTTGTCCACTATAGATCTTCATTATATATATAGAGAGTGGATAACCGCATGCACATTGTATATATCATACCACATTTGTTCGAGAAGTTAAAACTAAATTTAACAGGCGAAATTGCAAAATCATTAAGACTGTTGCGATAGCAAAATAGCACATTCGCCATATCCACTGTGTTTAAGCGATAGAGTTAAAATGTACATTTGGTTTTTTTTTTTATTTTTTTAGTAATCATTTTTCAATATATCAAGTGAATTCTAGCTTTATTAATTGGTATTTTTCAGTTTTGAATATTGCAATTTATTACTATTTGTTTATTTGAATTTCTGCTTACTCAAGACGACGCAGTATGGTTGAGTTCCACGATTCCTGTATCAAATGATTTGAAGTGCATCGCTGCGTATTTCTTATCGTAATAAAGTATGTTGTGAACGGAAAACTGACCTTTAGTCACTTTTTTTTTCAAATGCGTATGCCTCTATTACCCCATTAACTGCTCTTCATATCAAAGGGGCAGATTACAAAAGTAAATTCTTATTCAAATAACACATAAGTTGTTGTGTCCCATTTATAAGTCTTTCTGAAATTACTCTTTGATATTTTTCTTTTCATTAAAAAATGAATTGAAAAGTTGAAAAAAAAATTGAGTAAATCGTTGAACTGAGTTAGAAAAAAGTCTGTATGCACCACACAAGTAGATAATATATGTGCAGTAACTTACCCGCTTAAAATCTGCTATCCTAATATTTCTAAAGCGTAAAAAGTAATGATAAATACACCATGAAACAGATTTTGATACTTCTCCACCTGTAACGTCAACTTCATGGTATTTATTTATTTGAAATACAGAACTCAAAATTGTTTCTTTGGTCATGTTTAAATGCTTTGTTACCCAGCAATAATCCATTATCTCTCACGAGCATATCTGACATAGAAATTAATTTTTTTTCACATCTACTGAAGAGCTTATATTTAAGTCATATTAAATCAATAAATCACGAAATCGGCTTTATTCCACAGTGGAGACCGGATCGGGTTCGGCGCCTTTTGGTTTGATAGGCTGCAGTTCGGTAACTAAACGACGGATTTCTAAAAACAGAAAGCTAAGATAGACCTGAATAGTCTCTTTTAATACACTGTACATTGTTAAAACCTATGCGTTTTCAAGTAATTCAACCTTTGAGCACATGACCAAACACTATTACAGTTTCTTGTTTTATGAACATTTATCTGATAAGCTATTTTGGATATGAAAATACCAATAACGTTGCTTAGATTGATATATATTTTGACATATATTTATAGGAAATAACAGAGATTGATTTTATAAATATTTTGAAAATTGTAATTTTTTTATTTGTGTCCTTTGTCGTTGAAATAGGCCTTTATTTTGATTTAGATGGTTGATGTGCAACCCTTTAAACAATTAATAACATTGAGCACCTAACTGGGTCTACAAGCTCCTGAAAGCCACTTACTACATACGAGGATGGAATTGCAGCTAAAATTCGCCATGTATTTCAAAAATTTTTATAATACATGTAGTAAAAATACTTGCTACAGATGACTTAGGTTAATTTCAGTTTTAACTTTTATCACCCACGTTGGTGGCACGACACGTAATGTTTATGCTCGTTTAAAACGCATAACCAATCATCAGACGTTTAGTCCGAGACACGGGGCACACGTTCAGCCCCTGCTAAACTTGTGCTGACTTGAGATGCCGAACGTGCCCCAGAGCTCTGTTCCGAAGGTAGCTTACCATACCAACATAATTAACAATTTTAACAATGAACTAGACTTTCTTTACGCTCTTAGATAATACTGCATGGGGAGAAGCTACATGTAATTAAGATTTTCTACTCTAAAATAGACCTAAATAAAATTTCAAACCTAAAATTGTACTCAGCATGTTAAAAAGTTTTTCTACCCTATGTTAGGAACGGAGAGCAACTCAGCTGCCATATTTTAAAAGAAAGCAGTCAATGCATAAATTGGCAATGTACAGATGTTGCTGCTTCACAGAAATTCAAAATGTGATGTCCGAACGTGCCCCCGTCCCCCTACGATAGCCTTAAGTCCCTAATGTGTTTAAACTTTATTTGAAAAGGAGCGCCAGAAAAATATTCTGGAAAACGCGTTTGGATACAGTGTCGGACAGTGTTTGTAATGAACAAGCAAGCTGATAGTTTGCACCACACAAGATTAAAGTATCGAAAGCACTGTCAATATTAATTTTTTTTACTAACATTCCATCTCGTGTGTAGGCTACTTACTTTTGAATAAACCCAATATTAAAAAAATATTCAAAATATCAACTCCCATATATATATGTATTTCTTAAATGATTAAACTTTATGATACAAATATTTAATGTGTTTTCTATTTAAAGCATCGAATTTTTGTATTGTGTATTGTACTGTGCATTGCATTATGTGATTCTTTTAATATTTCTGACAATGATCCCGTTTCATGATTCAGCTAGGCCGTACTCGCACATCCTACCGTCTAGTAACAGCTTGTCTCTCCAACCTTTTTAGGTTGTGGTGTCGTTTTTATAGCATATCGAAGTACACCTGATATTCCCAGCAATTACCAACCCTCAGAGTAAAAACTTCCTATCTTTTTTCTTGTAACTTGTTCAGATCAAATGCACTATTTCGATGTAGGCAATAGGCCTAAGTAATACAATCCATACATTTCACATAATCTTCCGATTATGATCAATTCTTTTCCCCATTCACACTAGGCCTATATAGCCTTTTCGAAAAAAAGGTATTATGTATTATCATTTTTCAATGATTACAGATGGTCACTGATGTCTGAAGCCAAGCAAGAGCTTATTGATAAGTTCAGTTTGGGCACTTTCCAGGAGGGTGTTCTTATGTGCGGGTGATTTACGAATGATTTTCGCCTTTCCACCTAATATCTGTTGTGCTTGATATTTTGCATGGCGAAAGTTTTCCCTGTTCACTGGCAATCCATTTATACAGTGCATGCTCACTATCAACTACCGTTGTGTAGGACCTACGCACATAACACGACAAAATGTCGTGCAGTGGGTTAGAGCAAGGACGTCCTTGGTTAGAGGAAGGAAATCATTCATAAGAGACCTATAGAATTTAAATAAGATATACTCTGCAAATTCAACAATGACTTATGTACCCCGGTATGGTATCGTAGGCCTACATGTATCCGTGCAGCTGAAGAATTGCTGAAAACTTGTAAGTAATAGGCCCAAGTTATGTACGGTAGAACTGAATTACAAGTAAAATGACGCAGGCATTTCACTCATACATCATATTTGAGGCATACGGTTTATCCAAATTGCATATTGTGTTTGTTCACCCTTTCCCCATTCCAATCATTTAGTTAATGAGTGTTACGAGTCCTCTCACCATGATCATTGGGTGCCATCCACTCTCAGCAGGTTGGCTGTCATAGATCGCCATCTCGATCTTTTGCAATTCGTATACTTTCTCTATATTTTTGATAAGTCCATTCTTTTATGTTGGCCATCCATGTTGTTCTTGGTCTACCTTTCCCACGTACACCATTAAACTTTCCATCCAATAACATATCCGCTACAATTTTTTTTCTTGTGATGTAGCCAAAATAATTTTCTTTTTTGGTGGTGTCCAATAATGATCTTTTTATTTTTAGATTATTTACATTTCTTTTATGTTCATGATATTTCTAACACCCTTCTGCATACCCACATTTCAAACGTTTCCATTTTTTCATTGTTTTTTTTTCCCTCTAGGCTGTGTTGACTAGATTGACCAGTCCTCTGCTATTATCTAATTGTCCATCTAATTGTGTTAGTTGTGGCACGAACACAATTTACTCTGCCTAATACTTCCGGTGTAACAGTCGTAAATGGGTTCTTAAGCAGATGGCTTTCCGCGACTTACCATTGATAAAGATGAAACTGACGTCCTAGTAAAATACAAGGAATGACCACTCAGGTAAGGGACGCGTGGTTGTTTTTTTAGTGCTAATTTCTTTCAGTCAAACTCATGAGTTTTCTGTGAGGTAACTTTGCGTTGTATTAAATGGTACTCGATATTAAAAACGTAAATCACAGCCTTGCCCTTGGTCATATTCACAGGGCATTAAACATGTCATTTTTTCTGTTACAATCCAAAGAAACAATGCTACACTAATACCAGTATGCGTAAAAATAAAAATTCTATTATCCAGATAACATAAAAAAGTATTAGGAGTTTTGACGTTTTGAATGCTTTAATATCAGTTTGGCACAGGTACATGTACCTCGGCTCATGATAATTGACTTACCAGGCATATAGCACAAAGTTTCATGCGTTAGCACGACTATTTCCGTTATTTTATATGTACTTCATGTGTTGATAGTACCCAGGTGTTGGTATGGCTAACAAGTCGTGATAACATCTTCATATTTTTAACAGTGTGTTCAGGTCCGCCTTGAATTAGGCCACAGGGCAGCTATTCGCAAGCAGCCAACACCAGAGGGCTTTACACATGACTGGGAGGTTTTTGTCCGAGGTCCACAAGGAAACAACATCCAGCATTTTATTGAGAAAGTTGTGTTCCATCTGCACGACAGTTTTCCCAAGCCAAAAAGAGGTAAGACAAAACTGTTAGATGCTTGTTTTGTCTATAAATTTCAGAATGATGTGCAGTTGAATATTATGAAATGTATTATTTCAGTTTTAACTTATTTTTAATTTATTTATGTTTTATTTATAAAGCAGTTTTAGATCCAATCACTCAATTTACAAATTAGGCACAGTATGGTGGAAAATACTTGACTCGTTTTTTGTTTTTTTTTCAGTCTCAAAAGAACCACCTTATCAGGTTGGGGAGAGTGGATATGCTGGTTTTGAAATGCCAATAGAGATTTATTTCAAGAACAAGGAAGAGCCAAAGAAAATTCGCTTTATGTATGATTTATTCCTGCACTTGGACGGTTGTCCACCTGTCAATCATGTACGCTGTGAAAAACTCACCTTCAAGAATCCAACGGAGGAGTTTAGACGCAAGCTGATAAAAGGGGGTGGAGTAAGTAATGGCATGATTTTAACTGTTTCTGTGAAAACAATACAACTGTATAGATAAATGAAATTTACATTTTGCTTAACAGCAGATAAGATATGGGAATATTATTTATTTTTACTTTTCATCTGAACAAAATGACTGTAAGACAGGACCCTTGAATAATTTTAATGTGCTCTAAGGAGCTAAATTTGGTTTTGCCTTTTTTGTTGTTGTAGATGAAAAATTAATATTTATGGTCATAAATCTGTGAATAAGATTTTCAAACAGAGAATACATATGAGTCAGTCTAATAGAGTTAATAAGTTTAAAAACCTTAAGTTCATACAGGTCTTTTTAAAATTGTATCACCACAGGTTGGTATACCTAGTACAGATGATGACCAGCACTACCATGTTCCTAGTCCTGTCCCTAGTCCTGTATCCCCTCCTGCACCACAAGTACAGCCAGCTGCTATGAAGGTGTCCTCCCACAGAGGATCTACTGACAGCATGAGGAGTAAGGCAGAGAAGAAGAAAAAAGAAAGAGATAAAGACAAAGCAAAAGAAAAGGAGTCTAAAGAGAAATCCCCAAATGATTTGAACAAGGTTTGTATTATTTAAAGTCTGATGTATTTTTTCCTTTTTTTCTATTTAAAATTTTTTTATAGGTCTCCTCCCAGTGATTGCGAAAGCCGTCGGACCACGGCCATATGCCGGCAAAAGTTCTGTGGGCTGGAAAACCCTTTTAACTCATCGGCCCACATGTCCGACGGACTAAAGTCAGTTTCTTTAACAGACACCTCGCCTCATATTTGAATTTATCGTAAAGCTCTAAGTGCGCACTATTCGCAAGTAAAACTTTAACTTGCACCATACTGGCGCGTTTTGTAATAAAGGTCTACGTACATTATGATGTCGCTTGAAGTGTGCGTAGCGATGGTGTGAGGGCTGACATGTGACCCGTTTCACAAAAAAAATGTATCGAAACTGAAACAACTACAGGTCAATGAAAAACGTACTGCTCAAGACTCTGAAAACAGGCCGCTCAAACTGCTTACGACTGGCCACGCGCGGACCTCTGAGAACACCTAACTACACGTGCTGGATAAACAAGTATGGCTTCCGTCGGACTGCATGTTGAGTAAACGATAAGTGAAAAGGAGAAATATTCATTTGCTTTTTAGATGGGTGCTCTTAACTAATTTTAACGGATATTTTAAGTCATATTGCGCCTTTAGCGGTGCTATATGTCAAAATGAGGGACAACATCATTTTCCATGCGGAAAATCCGCAATGGCACAGTCAGGGTGCAAAACTGTCCATT